GGAGCCTTGGGGTGGCAGGGCTCTGGAGCCTTGGGGTGGCAGGGCTCCGGAGCCTTGGGGTGGCAGGGCTCTGGAGCCTTGGGGTGGCATGGCTCCTTGGTTTGGGGGGCACATTGTTCCTGGGGTGGAGGCTGGCAGGGCTGTTTCACCTGCTGCTGCTGAAGCTGGGGGGGAGTGGTGCAGGGCTGCTTCTGCTGGTGGGAACTCATGCTTCACAGGAGGCTGGACCTACACAAAGAACAGATGATTAAACAGGGATTATCTAGGATAGAAGCCATATTCAATGCCAAATGTTTCTTTACAGGCCCTGTTAGAGGAAACAGCCCCTCATCTCCTCTGGCTGACCACCCCCCACAAACTTGAAAGTAAAATATGCTTTGATAATTTCTGGGCCCTTTCAAGAGGAGGAATTAAAGTCAATTTGTTCTGCTCCATTTCAGTGGGGTTCATTCTCCAGCAAACCTTTCTTCCCCAGACATGTCATATCCCTCATTGACAAGTACCCAGGGCCACACTGAAGTCTTTCGGAAAGTGACATTATAGAAACAACTGCAGTCTGCCCACCCATAGGACCATGCAGCACGCCTGTGACTTACAAAATGCCTCTCTGAGTCTCAGCTCCTGTGACCTTACTCTGCCTTTGCTAATACAGTGTGCTCTGAAATGCTCTCCTTCCCATTTCTGCTTGTCCAAATATGCCTCCACTGTAGCTCACATCTTGCGCTATCACCAGGAGATACTGAGCATGGCTCCCCCAAACAGCCCTTCCCTGTCCCTCTGTTCCCATGCCAATCATAATCTGCTTTGCATTTTCTCTATGTATGAGCATGCATTATCTTCCCTGCTAGGCTGTGAGCTTGCTGAATGAGTTCCATAACGGTCTGATTTACCCAAAGTACCTAGCATGGTGCCTGAAATACAACAAATGCATAGTAGAGGTCCACCTCATGAATTAACATTTTTATAAGTGTCATAAACAGAGAAAATAGTAGTGTTGTTGAAAGTGCTTGGGCCTGAGAGTCCTAGTCACAATCGTGCTACTAACTTACTGTCAGCACTTGCACAAACCTGCCCCCTGCCTAGCCCCAGTCTCACGGCTGTTCACCAAAGCGGCAGACTTACCTGTCCCTAATTCCCTTCACACCCAAACTGTGCTTTAATCTAAAATGACCAGTATTCTCTCTCTAATTAATATCCTTATCAGCCCTCTTACACATGTTTGCCTTTGTCCAGTTTCCACTAATAAAAAAAGTAAACATGAATTTCAAATTGGTTCCAATCAGAGACTTACCTGGTACACAGAGAATGGGGTGTCTGGTTGCTCTGGTCTGATGTGAAGTCAGCAGCCAGCTGGCTTTTTATAGGATGAATGAGCCCTGCCTCAAGGAAACAGAATCACCTCAGGCCCCCTCTGTTTTCATTCCTTACCTGTCAAACATGATTCACCCTACTCCCCTCAATTACCAGTTGGATCAGCTTTTGTGATGAAAACCACCCACTTGATATTTTTTGGCACTGGCTGTGTGACAATGATGTCACCGATGCCTAATTCCCAGTGCCACCCTCCCCCTTAGACCCAGGCATAGGGCTTGTGTTGGGGGAGGGGTGAGCCACAGGCTTCCGGGAGGGTTTAAGGAGTTAACCTAAGAGGAAGATCTGAGTCCTTTGTGTGGCCTTGCTACCTTCTTGCTCTCTCTTCTCTTGAGGGGATTGTTCCTTCTGTTTTGTGGGTTAGAATACATTTGGGCACATGAACAAGTGGGAGAGGTGTCAGAGGACCTGAGGCGGGCACCTGTTGCCTGCCTTATAAAGGTAGATGCTAGAGGTCGTCGATTGACTGATTGCAGACTCCTTGTCTGGGGATCAAATCCATTTCCTCCATCTTTCTCCTAACTCCACGGAACTATACACATTCAGATTACTTAATTATCCCCCCAACCCCACCCCTCCCTGACTGGTTGCTAATCTGGGTAAACCTGCTTTGCCTTCACCAACCACACCTTCGCCCCTCTCCTACTTCAGAAATTTTCAAGGGCTAATTCCTCTTCTGGGATAACCTTTTCCCTCCACTCCACCCATCCTTCTGGCCCTGGCCCTTCCTTCCTAACCCAGCTGTATACCACCCACACACCACCCGAAACCTGGAAGCCTTTTCTAACTATTTCAGCCCCTAGCCCAAGCCCATCCACGGAGCCCTGGGATGAGCTCACCCCCAACCCTTTCTTGCCCACTTCCAGTCCCAGCCCTGACAACTGGAGGTCTTGTTGGCTGCAGTGTTTTCCTCCTCTCTTGGCTCTGTATCTCCTGGGGGCTCTCTCAGCATCAGAGCTGTGCCTGCTCAAAACAGCACTCCCATGGTGATATTTGTTTCCATATTCATTCAACAAATATTAACAGATACCCTAGTATATGCCAGGCATGTTTCATTTGGGGAGCTATCCAAGTGTGAAGGCCACTTCCCTCAGCAGACTGGGAACTACCTAGCATCAGAGACATATCCTACTTTAGAGTCACTAGTTTAATGACTCTCAGAGAGCCTCATTCCAGCCTTCAAGTGATGGCTGAGGGATTTGAGGCTATAAGAGGTGAAATAACTCCCTCAAGGTCAAACAACAATCCCCATGAAAAAAAATGAAGTCTACAGCGAAAGCCTATGTTCTTTTTTTAACCCCTGCCTAGTCCTAATGCCTATAGAGGAAATCAAGCCAAGGCAGGAAAATAATGACAGGTGGAAAGGGGAACTCAGACTTCCTGGCTTGCAGCTGGGTCCACTCAGTTCTGGGAGAGCTTTGTGTGATGGGCAAAGTAAGAAGAAAAAAAGAGCCTTCCCTTTTGGGTAAAACCTTAATCTTTGTTAAGATGAATCCTCTTAGGTAGGAATAAAGCTGCTTAATGTTTGAAGTGGCCCTATTATTAACAGTAGGTATTTCTCGCTCTGCTGAAAATAGGAGGGGCATGAATTAGCATAGGTGGAAATAAGGGACTCATTCAGCATATCATCCCTCAGTGAACCAGGGTCTGAGAGAGGAAGGGAAAGGCTAAAATGCCTGTTTTGAGCCAGAGTTGCTTTCACTTTGGAGGAGGCCCCAGGATGGCACAGTGACAGATTCTGGGTACCTTGACTAGTAATGACACTGAGGTTGGCAGGAGATGAGCAGCCTCTGAGCTCCTGCCCAGGTATGTCTTCCCTCCTTGATGGTCAGATCCTCAAGATTCTCCTTGCCACAGGCTTTTCTTTCCTGGGAACATAAGAATAGGGATCCCCTGAGTCTTTACACCAGTAACTTCCTGTGATCAACATAACATGAAACTGAATTCACTGGTTCAGCGCTGTCCTCAAAACACATCTGTTACTAGGTGTGGCCTTTGGAAAATCCAAATCATGTTTAGAACCCAGGTGTGTGGATAGCTCCTCCTCCTCATTCCCCTCCCCTGCCCCCAAACATACACCTAAATGTTTGTGGAGCATCTGCTGACTTCAGCTGGGTCACCTCTTGTGAACTTGACGTCCTGGATCAGCCTCAGTCTTTATGGCCATTAGTGCATCTTCATCCTCACACGGTGCCTGGTGGGTAGTAGTTGCTCAGCAAGCTGGCAATTAATTATAGAATGATTGACTGACTGAATGGTTGATGGATGAATGAAAGAATGAATGAATGGCATTATTTGTAAAGAGAGGCCCAGAGTTCCCCATCTTTGGGGTTCAGCTGGGAAGAAGAGGAAGGGCTCAGCAAAAGGACAGATGGCACTGCCTTCCCCACGCATCTGTTCACTGTCAGTCTATCTAGTGACCATCTCCCTCTGGGCTGGTACCAGTGCCATGACCATGGTTGAGCTCCAAGCTTCTCATCTCACTCTGCCTCTCTTCCAAGCTTGGGCTAGGTCCCTCTCTTCGCCTGAACCTGCTCTCAGGAGCCCCTAACAGAAGGAGCTCCAGGCAGAACCTGCTGCTCTACCTGGTGGGATTCTTAGCTGGAGGATCTTAGCTGCTTCTCTGTCCTGTATGGTCACCCAGCTTGTCTCAGGCTCTGGAGGATCTGAACCCAGCTCTGCAGCTGGAGTACCCTGTGCCTTCCTCGGGCCTTGGCCCTAGATGCAAAGGAATTTCCCTGTCACCTGATACCCTGCCCTGGGCTGGAATCTCCTGCCTTCCTCAACCTGTGCTCCCTTGGCTCCACCCAGTGCTGCTCTGGCTCTGGCCTCTGGAACTTTCCATGACTCCCAACATTATTCTCCCTGTTTGTTCATCTGAGGCTCACTCAGTGGTTGGTTCTCCCTTTTCAGAGAAGCTCCTTTCACTATCAGTGTGGGTTAGTGGGTGAATCTGGCCCCACAAATGTCCTACATAAAGAAGGGGGGTGGAGCGCCTGGGTGGCTCAGTTGGTTAAGCGACTGCCTTCGGCTCGGGTCATGATCCTGGAGTCCAGGGATCGAGTCCCGCATCGGGCTCCCTGCTCAGCGGGGGGTCTGCTTCTCCCTCTGACCCTCCCCTCTCTCATGTGCTCTCTCTCTCTCATTCTCTCTCTCTCAAGTAAATAAATCTTGAAAAAAAAAAAGAAAAAAAAAGAAAGGGGGTAACGGGGTTGCTTACAATGGGAAGTACATCTCCTATGATTTCATAGGAGCCCCTCCTTAGCACACAGGGGTTGCTGCTGTTCACATGTTAAAATCTGGCTCCCTTCTGGACTAGCTGCAAGACGGTCCTTTAGGTCAGTGCGTGCCTCTGGCTCACCATGCATTTGCAGAGTGGGGAAGGTTGCAGCCCTGAGCTCTTCAGTGATCAGGTCCTTCCCTGCTTACATCACTCCCTCCTGTGCTTCCCCAAGACACAGAGAATGCAGAGAATGTCATGCAGAATTTGAATTCTAGTCATTTTATCATGAGGGCCATGTTTAAAACATGCTAAAACCTTGAAGCAAGCAATAGTAAGAGACCCTCCCCTAGTCACCTTGAGGAGCTAGGGACCCAAGAGTGGTGGCTCATTTCGGGCTATGATGATTTTAAAGAAGTCTCCATAGCATATGGATCCCTCCATCTGAAAAAAGAGGAGGAAATGGGGGGAAGAGATGCCAGATACCAGGCATTTTGAAGCCTCTTGAATCCTTGAGTACTACAGGCAGGAGATGTGAAGTTTGCAGAGATGGATGCCAAGGTGGAGAGGGACAGTAGTCCTAGCACTGGAGAGCCTCTACCCTTGTCCAGGTCCTGG